GCTATTGGCTTCATTCTCCACAGAAAGGAAATAACTGGGCTCTTTCTCCCACATTCCAGCTTCTAAAAATGATTTCCTTTTTTACACACATTTTGTAAATGGAGTACGATGTATCCATTGTAAATGTAGAGTGCACAGCTTTCTATGTGAAGATTTACTACTTTTAACGTGTAATTATTGCAATCTGTGTATTAATAAATCAGTATTTTTTTTTCAAATTCCTGTGTAGCCAATATTTCCATTATATTCTTAAAAGTAACTGAATAAATAATAAAACACAATAAAAATGAAAATAAAACAATAAACAAGGACTTTATAATTAATTTGGTTTTTATACAATATCCTGATATACTTCACTCCAGCAACTTCTTGTTGGGCGTTTCCTACTTTTCAAGCGCCATCTTGTGGTAGCGTTTTACATTTCAGTTTACTGTATATTCCAAATAACATCAGCTTTATACTTCGTTAATTTTGATTCCTTGTTTTTCCTTTCAGAACATGCGATTTTTGAATGGGTTAGTAAAGAGTTGTGTATCTCTAAAAATTTAATCTCATATAGCTTGGACATTATTTACTGTAAATTGAAAGGCAAAAGAGCTGTTAATCTTAGTTAAACAGAAGTGAAGCAGAAAAATTGTATCTTCACAATATTCCCCTAAATATGAATCACGCCAGCCAAAACTGTATTGATCTGCACAGTGGCAGGAGGCTACACAGGTAATTAAGTATTTCTTTTTTGAGCACCCTCACATTATGCCGAAAAGTGAGTCTTAAAAATAGGTAGGTCACTGTTAATATTAATCATTTATTTAGTAAAAACAAATGAGACCATGCATTCCAATAAAAAGAAGAACTTTCTCACAAAAATAAAATAAAAAAGCTTGCAGTCCGCCACACTTGTGGGCTGTATTTACTGTATCTGTGCTGAAGAGAAGTGATTGTTTTTCTGGCCGGAGGATAGAATACAGAGCCTCTGCTGGGCCTCACCAGGGATTACTCTCTCCATTCGTCCGTGCGAGGAGCCGCAAGCACAGGTTCCAGAGGCGGGACTACAAACTGGTAAACCTCTATTGAACACGGACAGCCTGTTCTCGCAGTGCCGAAGGAGACCCTCACGGACGCGGAGAGTCTCCCACGCGAAAGGTGCCCCGGGGTGCCGTGGAGAGCGACCCTCACTCCTCCAGGAACCCAGTCGTGCGAGTTTATTCTAAAACTCCTCTTATCCCAGTGTCTTTTTGAAATTCCCAAGGGGAGCTCAAGTTACTTGAGAAGTCATTATTGACACCAGAGAAACAGGAGTTGAGCCAAATTCACGTAAAAATTTCTGACAAACGTTATGTTTATATCAGCATCTTTAGATGCAAATGATTTTCTCCTGAATATGCCAAAGGGCTGGCAGCAATATACGGGGCAGTCAATTCAGAGAAGGGGAAGATACACTACCAAACTGTCATCAGAGTCATTATCACTCTTTATTATTTTGCTAGTGTCCTGATGCAATCCCCAAATTTTTGCTTACAACCTTTGTGCTGTCTAGCAGACGGATAACTTCTGTGATGGGCTGGTTATCACCTTTTCCTTCCTTCTTTTCTTTAGATTGAGAAAGTGCTCATCTTTACATCTTTACATTACTTTGGAATGAATAGACTCGCATGAGGACACTTCTGCTGAGAAGTCTTTACACACCAGGTTGAGTTACATACTAGCACATTTTATATTAATAATATATACTAATTATATCCGTATGTCCTAGTCACACCATGTCAAGATTCTTCTATCTTCTTTCACTCTGTTTCAGCCTGATTATAAGGATCACAAAATGCTGTTGGGTTCATCTGTACTGTGATGCTTAAAAAATGTTCCAAATTACAAAACATCCTTCCAGAACCTTATACCCCTCTCAATACAAAATTTCTAGGTCCTTCTTGAAAATGTTCCGATTTCTAAACAAAGTTAAAGTTTGTTCTTTACTAGCTACATTTATTTGGCAGCTGATAGAGAAGTACAAGGAAGATGATGTGGCTTATTTAGGCTCAGGTGTTCATACATTACAGTCTGGGGTCCAGTAACATCTGGCAGCTTTCACCAGCTTTAAAATTGTTTGCTTTGATGGGTTTCAGCAATGTTTTGTTTGTGGGCAGCTATTGATGTTTTTCTATAATGTTTAAATAATCTTTTAAATGCTCTTACTGTTCAATATTAGTCTGTTTTTCATTTAATATTTCCTTTCCCCACTACATACTCAATAAAAGGCAGATGTTGTATTTCCAGAGTCTAAGGTATATAATCACAAAGCTCCAACTCTCAAGTCATGGGACAGGAAAGTAAATTCTGGTTTAATGACTAATGTGAGGTTTGAAACGAGAGCAACAGTGCATTGCTGTTATATCCGGAGAAAAAGTCCAAAATTATTCATGTAAATATGAGTCAGTGTAGCTGTGTGAGAAACACAGTGTCTGAATTCTGCTTTGTCTATTGTAAGAACTAAAAGGCCTCTTGTTGTGATGGGCCTTCATAGCCCAACATGGAAGGGAGTCAAACTAAAACAGATGCATAGTGGAATATTTTAACATTTTAAATTATTTTCTGAACCAAGAGGCACATAAATTAGAAACCACAAACAGTTATTTTGTGCACTACTGGCGAGCGTGCACTGTACTCTTTGAATGCTATAAAAATAGTTCCATTTATACTGAACTGCAATGAGTATGCCAGATGTGGAGAAAGTAGTATGAACAATATTTCATTACATTTTTTGCTAAATGAGTAGAAAAGAATGCTTATTTGAAAATAATTTCAACAGAACTACAGAAAAAAGTCAGAATAACTTATACAAACAATTCCCCGTAGAAAAGCATGAACCCCATAGGATAACCAAAATGTATAGTAATTCTATTATATGAAAAGCAATAAAGATTTACAATGTATCCTCGAAATTATCATGAGGTCTTGAAATAGCAAAGTAAACGGATACAGCATGACCCACCATGAATGATTGTTTTGTTTAAGAACGTGGGAAGTGACTGTCATCCAGACTTCAATGCCGCTTGTCTACTCAGGGCTAGTTTTTTAATTCTGGCTATAAATTGAGTGCTAGAAGTCACTCTCAATATTGTCTATAAATACAGTCGCTGGTATCACATTTAATAGGGGTCTCATTTAATAGAGCTCATTAAGTAAGTCATTTGACAATTCTTATGAGACTACCATGCATACAGTACAGTATATACAAACCATCACTGTGGAAATAACTGTTAAAAGTGTAATCTTAGCTCTGTAAGTCTATTAACTGAAGAAAAAAGGCTTCACTGTCGCATCGGTCTAAAATAAATTAATTTTTATCCCGTCCATTATAAAGTTGTATATCGTTTCAATAGCTATATTTTTCAAAGAACAGTGCAATGTTGCAAGAAATCATAAAGAAAGGAGAAGCAGACACATTTACAAAAACTATAAAATCATTGGCAATTTTTCTCTTTTCAACTTCAGAGGGAGAATTTATCGGAAGATAAAACAACCCAAAAGAAACACAAATTATTGCTCAGGGTGCATTTATTTTCATACAAAATCACACTACAAAGTTCTAAAAAAACGTTTATTTTTTTTGTAGTTCACTTTGTTGAGGTCTTGCACTTTAAATGCCATTGGTATTCCCTCTGCTGTTGAGATAAGATCCCTAGAGTCTTGAAACAACATCCTGATTTCTATCGGTATGATACTATTCGGCACAACATTCACATGATTCAAATTTCTCTTTTACAGAAACATTAGTATAATATGTTACATTACTTTTATGCCATAACAAAGCCTTGTCGTGTTTCATTTCACAATACTGTAGGTTCATAGTCTCATTTTAATTTCAGTGTTTTACCTATAAGGCCAATAATTACAGGAAAAATACATTCAGTATTTTGAATACTGAAATAGAAAACTGAGTAAAATAAAGACAGCATTTCAACAACTACCATTTTGATCTTCAATTTACTAAATATTTGGAACACATCAAAAAGACTGGAATTTGTCTCAATGGTGTAAAATACAATAGCCAAGGAACAGTCATTATTAACAGCTAACTGGAGTCCTCTTTGCTAATTACCAGTCTATTCTGTTAACAGGAAAACAGAAACACACCAGAACAAACGGTTAACAAGTTCCAAAGATGTCTACTTAGTGTATAAAATATTTTTTCGAAATTAATCCAAAAATGAACTTAATTAACTTTTAAAATATTATAATCAAAATCCACCTTTGGAAATAACTACTGTATTACCTACTAATTACTCAACAATAAAACCATTAAAAAATGCTACCTTCAGAAACAATATTTTCATTTGCATTTATGAGTTCACCCAGTAAAACTGATTCCCCCCAACAGATAGTTCTGTTGTTATTGTCTAATTATTTTTGTAATACAGTAAACACTTCTCCAATTCGAGATTTATCTAAGCAAATTTAATTTACAAACTGAAAAACACCACAAATTGGAGGACGTGGTCAAAGGCAGTCTGTCACTACTTCGCACAGTTCTAGAATCTTCTAGTAATGTCGTCCGCATAGCCGCGCGACCAAGCACCACAACTTACACGGTCTCGTGGCGGTCTGCTGTTCCCGACGGTGAAGTGGTGTTTGGCTTTTTTGACTGTTTTCTTCAAATTTTTGTTTTGGCTGATGGCCTTGCAAGACAGTATGGACTCAGAATGTAAGACACTAGAAAGTGGAAGTGTATTGAAAAAAAAACTTTTTTATGTTTTTGACATTAGCATGAAAAATAAACATCCTGGATAAGCTGCTTGGAGATGAGTGGCCTTTTTATTCAATTATTCAAATTATTCAAAGGTAAACGTTTTAGGTAAACATCATAGATATAACATCTGTGATATCTATATGTCATAGATGTTTATACTTTTATTGTACTGTAACGCATACGGCCGACATTGCAGGTTGTGCGAGCCGGCTTACCAGCGCGGTGATGTCACCGCCCTTCCTTGTGAATAGCAGGGACTGCAGCTGTTGAGTGACGCCAGAGGTCTGGGTTCGAGTCCCCATTGGTGGGGGGGCCGACCTGAGGCGGCAGTGGCGAGGGCACATATCCACATGAACCCAAGAGCGCTACAGTACTATATTTTAAAATTATTTTCATGAACAGTTAAGTATAGGCAGGACAATTTATTTGTGTGGAGTATTTTGCTATATAAAATGTAGGTATTAAAGGTATTAAAGAGTAACTTTGTTCACATATCCCTATTTATCACATTAGGTATTAAGTTTCTCTAATGTGAATTTGTTAATGAGTTGCTTTGGAGAAACATAACCCCCACATTGGACAAGGGTCAACAGTAGTTATCAACTGATTTCATATTAATGAGGCATTATTATGTGAGGAACAGATGCCTAATAAATACCTATTAACCAACATCACAGTGACCAGTTCCAGTGAATTTAGATCAAACATGTCAACAATTAATAACTGACCCATGTTTAATTGGCAGTCGGGCCCAACTCCGGTCCTCAAGGGCCGCTGTCCAGCACCTTTTATAGGCCTCTTTTAATCTCCAGCTTCTCAAGACCAAGGAATGGCTTCAACTTATAATGAGTTCATGGTAGGTTATTAAGGGCTCATGTGGAATGAAAATGATGAAGCTTTGTGGCCCTCCAGGACTTGAGTCGTGCACTTCTGCTGTAGTGTCTTTACAGTACATAAAGTATTTGATGTGATTATATAGTGAGTACTCTGTGTAGTTCATTCTGGAAGAGCTGCCAAGTGCCTGTACAGTGAATTAAAACCTGATGTTGATTTAAAGTAGAATTATCGACTTCTGCAGCACACATACGAAGAGCAGGCTTGAATTGCAACACCATTTCTAGGCATTATAAAGGATAGCTGTTATGGCACACTACCTTCAGATTTAATATAAGCCTGGAACTGTTTTTTCTTGCCGTACTATAACTAGATGAATCACAGTGATATGTACAAAGTACAGCTGTCTTGGCTACATATCATGTAATTTCAACACTCCCCACAACAGTCTTAAGCTATACAATATAACTTCACAATTCTATTAAGATGAGTCAACAGTAAATAATGAAGTATCACTGTTAATGTGTCAATAAGTCCTCTTTTTGTGTACTTAATTAATGCTCATGAGGATATCTTAATTTGTAATACTGAACTTGCTCTACACTTGAGTATTGTTAAAATGTGATTTGCATACAAGCCCGAACAAAGGTTCCCTTTACAGACCGTACACAGAAGATCTGTAGTCTTGATAGATGACTAGAAGGCGGTATACCTGTAATGATACCACCAGCAAGTTTTTAATGGCGAAGAAGGCCAGCATCTGATTGATGACTTTGTAGTACGTCATCACCACCAGGCGTACCACGAGGAAGGGGCCGTCGTGAATGAAGAGGCTCTCCACGATGCACCAAATGTCAGTCCTGTGCCTTTGCAGGAGGGAGTCTGGTTGCCCTTCAGTAGTGTCCTCAGGCCTTGATGTCAAGACTGTTATTGACAAAGAGCCACACAGCACACAGAACAATAACACAATGAGCAAATGATTCCTATCCCTTCCCATCCCATCTGCTTTCAACAGCAGTGTAGGAAGAAGAACATTGACAAAAAGGAAGTGGAACATCTGCACTAGAAATGGACTTCTTAACGAAGGCTTCCACCACACTTACCAAGTGTTACTTTTGATCAGGTCTAGTCAGGCTTTAGCATTACCGAGTATTTGTTTTGGATTTACAGAACCTTTTTAGGCTAAAACAGGTCAATGGGATGCTTAAACAGAAGGTGAAATACAGAGTTAATTTCATAGCTTTTGGAGCTATTCACCTCTAGAATGTGAAATTGACATTAGGCCCAGACTTAAATGCATGAGTTTGCCTCAGTTTAGCCTATCTATGAACTATCTATAAAGATCGTTTAGTCTATCTTCACGTCACTCCAGAAGGGTGGAGGTCTGGATGTCTCTTCTGAGGATGTGTAGCCTCAGGGGAAATGAGAATCCATGACCCTGGCACAGTGCTCTCTCAGGGATCGGAGCCTCCACTGACTGCTTATGTGGCACTTGTGCCCAGATAGCATTCTCCTTTCTCTTTCACTAGTACACTAGAGCAACCTGTAACATTTGTTTTTTATAGTGCATTGGGCCATGCGCTCGCGTTCAATCTCTTGTCTGTCTTTTGAAACTGTGCTGCCTCCTGTCTCTCTTTATACATGTCCTTGGGCTCCCACTGCTTGTTCTCAGTTTTCCTTGTCTTCCAATCCCTTACCCTCTGTGCCAGAAAAAGGTGCAGCTCTTTTATTGGTAGTAGTCCTGGCACAGAGGTAGTGCCAGGATTACTATTAACAGAGCTGCACCTTTTTCTCATACACTTTTCACTTCTGAAAATCCTGCTGGCTCAAACTACATTGCTATGAACCACCAAACTGCTCTGCTGCTGACATATTTTACTCCACAAATACTAACATGTCTTGTATCTGCAGTTGTTGTACTTGTACACTATTTCCTATGCAACTTATACATCTTGTTTATTTACAGTGATTATACTGTATATACAATGAGGTGTTAAACTTCTCATAATCCTTGTATAAAGGCAATCAGTCAAATTAAGAAAAAAGAAGTCTAAAAAAAGGCAAATCGGAGACAGACCTGCAAGATGAAGAGGAAATTGTAGCATACTCCATGTCCACACTGCAAGAATCGCATAGACCAAATTGTTGTTGTCCCTGCAGGTAAACAAAGCCCAGTGCTGTGAAAGCATTGTTCATGCTGTGTGATATAAGACAACTTCTTTAAAAAGATATATATATATAGAAAGCAAGATATGAATCTTGAAAAGGACAGTAGCACTGCCGTTTTATTCAAAGCGGACACTCTGTGACTTTTCTAAATACTGAGAGCAGTGTTTTCAGTAACTCACAAAGCTGAAATTGAATGCAATTTTACTTGATCTTTGCGGGTAAGGGATGCTCAAATTAAGATCACAATTTGTGTCTGACCGAACCCTCTCCTCCCTCTGATCCATCTATAATTACAGAAAACAAATGCTGTCAAATCATGTTATGGACACTGTGGTATGAATGTATTTAAACTCACTTGACGTCCGAGAGAGTTTCACTAGTGAATTCGAGGATGTCCGCTGCTATGCCGACAAAGATGAGCAGGAGCTGTGAGAGCTCATCCCGGGTGATGCCTGCTCCAATCGGGAGCAGCCACTTCCCTATGATCAATAGAATGAGCAGGATTTGGTGGAGCGCCAGTGTCCAGGCATCATCGCACAGATTAGACAACTGGGTAGAGTTCTTTAGACAAAGAGAACACACTAATCAACACAAAACTTCCCCAGCCGTAATGTGTATAATAATCAGTTAATCTAATGAGGAATGTGACATCATTGCCAATAAGTATTTCCTGGAATCACTCCACTGAGTTTCTAAAGAAATCCAAGAGATTTGCAATGGTCTAAAAAGCACAATGGACAGACACAAATGATTTTAGTAAGTTCTGTAATGTTTAAATGGGTTTGACAGAATGTGTACACAAAGGCTTGAATACATATTTGCACGTGTTCAGAATCACTGAAACACTTGATAATGTTATGCCAGGGCAACATGTCTCACTACTATTGCAATAAATATTTTTACAAAATGAAAAAAAGAATTGGCAGTCTTGTAACACACACATTGAGGACAGCATTTTTCTTTGGAATTAGAATCAAAACAAATCTTTAGTTCTAGTGAGTCATATATTGACAAGTGTCTAACTTTTTCAGATTTAGTAGCTGTGGATATATTCAGTAGTAATGAATGTCAGATTTGTAGTTGATATTTAAAAATGATATTTCGATAATAATGCATTTCTGAAACGAAGACCTTTTTTACATAATTAGATTTGGATGTTCTCTTCTTTCTTTACCTTCTGCTACGATATTAGTTGTTTGGAGGAGAAATCAGTATCAGTAAAATTGGTGCCTTGATATTTTGGCTTGGTATAGCTTAGTTCCTGCTTGTTTTAACAAATACATTTATCAACAAAATGTCTATAAATAAAGCAGTCAGATGTTTATCTCGAGTCTCTCAGCCTGTCCTCACAGCTCTAATAGCAACTTCTAATTATTTCCATGTGAAATGGGTCTCATCCTGTATACTGGGTGTGTCACTACCCAAGATCCTCAAAACTATCTGAGGATAGACTCATCAGCTGCTTGCTTTTGGTGTACAAACAAACCCAATAGGAGAAAGAGTTACACTTGTCACTATTGGTGCTGTGATAATCTGGAGGAGAAGAGTGGAGAAAAGTGTAATAGGTCTCACAATGTGTAATATGTGTCTCACAGTCTGTCAATCCTCTGAGGTACATGCCTTATGGCATAAAATAAGACTGCTGTGGTGTATTTCACTCTCCAGATGTCTAGCAGCAATCTAGGCCACTGAATATACAGGATAGCCTTCTGGCACAGCAGGCCTATCTGGTGCTTGTGGGGACTTGAATGTGAATGTGAATGTGATGTGTTGAATGTGATGAGCCACATACTGTACACCACATATGTATGATGTCTGATGATAATATAACAAGCTGGAAGATTTTCCTGATTACACATTCATGACAGAACACCAATCTTTTTGCTCTGTACGGAGGATGTGGTAACAATACCACTGCTTGTTTCATGAAATAAAGCTGTTGTCTACAGGGATTCGTTTTTACATAAAATCTTTACATTAAAATAAACATGGTAATAGGAAACAAAATTGGAAATATTAAGCAGGTGTTTGAGTAATGAATTAACATGCATACAAGCAGATGCTACAACATCAAAATCCTTTGTGGAGCCATTTGTTTTTTTCTTTACAGAGAAAAAAGACTAATTTTGCTCCCAATTGATTTGTCTTCGGAGCACCAGCAACCCTTAAAGGTAAATAGTTTAGGTAGGAATAATGTTAGAAAGCTGGCAGCTTTAAGCAGTCCAGTATGTCTTTAGCACCTTTCTCCTCCTTAGGTCTGTTTGATAAATTCAGCCATGAGAAGAGTTTCCAGGTTTTTTAGAGAAACCCACTGGCAAATCAAAATCTAACCAGCAACAACAGAGATGCAGTTTTGATGCAGACTAAACAGCATTACTTTGATGTGCTAATTGCAGTAACCACCCCCTTAAGGCATCTCTAAATATTCTCTAAAACTAGCTAGACCTTCATCCTTTCCTTTTGTATTGGAGTGGTTTCAGCAAGGTAATGTTGTCCTACTGATAAGAGAATGGATACATCAGTACATAGGGTTAACAACTGGTCAACTGTTAACCACTGCAAATAGAACTTCAGCCTGTCAAGATATTCATTCTCAGCTTCTCAGAATGTCAGAATTCAGACTTCCCAGATCTGAAGCAATCCTGAAGATTTACTGTTATTACTATTATATAGTAGTGTTTTGTTAAATCAATAAAAATGATTGCACTTGCCATTCTCAATTCCATTAACTGAAGTGCACAAGCACCATCTTCTGAAATAAGCTACAGTATGTGCTATTAGGGCCATTAGGTCTAGCTTTCACCACATAACACTACAGTCTATACTGCTGTCATCTGATCAATCACACATTGCATTACACCATTGCACACATGAGACCAGATCGCTGTGAAAAGTCCAGACCAACCTGAAATGTTTAACTTGATCCAGAACCTTATTGTACTTTGTGGGTAAATTGTCCACTTCAAGAGTAAATAATTTAAACAGTTTGCCTATTGTGAAAAACTGCATTGCTTATATATTGCTTATATAACCTATAAGGCAGCATAAGTGATTTGACAATATGATTCTTACATTCATGTTATACTATGTTATTAGGGATTAATCACACTAAACCCCTGTTAAAATTAATAGGAAGTTTAATGTATTCAAAATCTGTGGGAGAGTGATTCATTCACCTTTTGTACCTGAATCCTATTATTACATATACTTAGAAGTTGAATTAATCAATCTCTTTCTTCTTAATTATGTTTTTTTCCAGGTACATTCCACAACTTCAGCAATCATTTGACTTAATACATTACTAGTATTTAGAATTAAATCTTTAAGATAAGAATAACAAGCAAGATACATACAATATAAGGTTAAAAAGTCACCTGAAATGTTAAATTTCCACGGCTCCCAATGGGTACAATATCCTTGATGCTCTCATATGAATCCAATTTTTTACACTAGAATAGTAAACCAAATATAATAATTAATAGGAATCAACTGCAAAAAAAATTTCAGAATGAAGACAGAATAAAACACAAACGAAATGTCTCTCTTTATAAATGACAAACTTCTCTTGCAACTTTTTTGAATCATGGACGGGTAGGTAACAAGTTTAGATAGAAAAGTAGCACTTCTCTACGCATAAATGATATACTGTACGGTGTGTTAAAGGTCGTGTATAAAACAGTGCTTTTTACAAACCTACCTTTTGATCTATAACTTTATTTTGATGGGTGTGCAGTTCCAAAATCCAGATGGATGGTATTATACTGACAAGGAACAGCAAGATAGCTGGAGAAAACCTGTTTCAACACAATGGGTAATCGTAAACTTGGATTACAGAGCACATAGAGCACAAAAGAACCACTAATCAAAGAAGGACAGAAACTTCATATGGAACTGATTAAGAAGAGTGAATCTGGCGAGCACAAAACTGCAAGAATTAGTTTAAGCTGCAGCGTTTAAAATGTTTGAACAGGTAGTGTATCTTCGTGACTCATTCAAAAATAAACCTTCACCAGGGTATGGGCATACAATAAGAATTAATGCAAAAAATGAGAGCAATGTGACGTTGTTTTTTTTACATTTGATGTCTTCGCAGGTTCCACATCCTGGGTTTTGGAGAAAACCGGATATTTTGAGAAGTAGGTTTTGATGTGGATACAGTTTGTCAGAGTAACTCCAGTCTGTATCCTGTCTGCAACCCCCTCCGCCCCCCCGACCCTGGAATTCAAATGTTTCTGTGAGAAAATTATTTTTTTTAAAACGGGTAGTTTTAAAAGAAAATACAAAATAAACATCCAATAATCTTTCAATATAACTAACAGCAAGTATCAGTCATACTGTACAGGTCAATTTGATGCTTAATCAATTTAAAAACACTGTATGCCTTATGCAATTAATTTTACACAAAGAGCATACACTTTTTTAACAGGACGTGTTACTATTGTCTATTTAGTATCCATCCACAGTCTCTACAAATCATGTCGTTTTATGAAGAAGCTATAAAATCAGTGCGTTCTGTGTCATTTACCACTCGACGAAAATAATTTTTGTCTCCAGTCATCTTACCATTTGTAATCTTTCCCTTTTCTTCTTTTCAGAGTGTAAATCATCTCAGCGACGAGGGGCAGGTATAGGATGGTCAGTAACCAATACAACTTATTTTGTTTCACTTCAGTCACTCTCCAAACTCCGATGAGAGAGAGAAGGATGAAAAAGAATCTGGTGACCACGGCACACACGAACTTCACAAAAATCATGGTTTCTGTGCAAGGATTTCTTTAAAAACTTGGAAAATAATCGATAAAGCCGGTAGTCTTCAGGTTAAAGCCTTTTTCCCAGATTCATTTCATCCGTAGTGTAGAACTGGCGAAAGACGGACCTGACTCATAAGCGCCGCCTTTTAAAAAGTTTTAATCGTTCAAAGTGGGTGGGCTTTGCTTTCCTGCTTTTCCTGGGTCGTACATCCTTAAAAGCTTCCTTCAGAGTTGGAAGTCGTGTCCGTTTAAAGTACTGTACAGTAGCTTATTGTCACCTCTCTGGGGATCTCTGTAACAATTTCAGGCTGGATCACAGACACTGTATTTGACCATGACTATAGAAAAGATTAACTTCGTGAGATATTTTAAAAGCTTCTTCTTTTGGAATTACTTTAGGATATTAAGCCTATGGTTTTAATTATAGACTGACTTCCTCTTGTTTGTAAACTATTTTGGCAACAAAATACAGTTTGCTAGTCATTGGCAAATTACATCAACATATGGCTTTGAATTTACATGGCAATTTAATATTTTTCCATATAAATATTTAAGTATCTAATTAAAATGTGCTGTTTATTTCAACAATTCCCCGCTTTCATCCTTTCGTTGTCGAAATCAAATTTAAGTGAACTTTACTGACAGTATTGGAATATATATTGTAAATGGCAAACTATTATCAAATTATTTTGCTGTCACTGCAAGAACTGGGAAGATACTTTACACAATCAGTCGCCAAATTATTTAAATGAACAATCCACAATTCTAATGCAGTTACATCTGAAGAAAAAAAACAAATCACACGTAGACGTAACAGGTTTCATCAACGAAAGTTAAACAGTAAACTTAACTTGTAAAATATCCTGGACTGACAGGCTGACATGTTAAAGGATCATAAATGTGCTAAAACATGAAACTGAAATGTGAATGGAAAACAATTTTATTCGCCCCTGCAAACTCAAGTGGACGTTTCGTTTGAGAAGGGATCTTTTTCAGTCCCTTTAGTTCTTCCATGATCGTTTGCAAAAATAATAATTGGACTCTGGCGCAGAGCTCCTGCGTACGGGACATGCTCTTGGACTCGGTGTGTTGTCAAGACAGAGGCGGTTCCCAGTCGCACGTGCGGTTGTAGATCCGCCCAAAGGCAGATCTTAGGGTTCCCATGGCGACTACGGGACGCCAATTTTCCTCAACATGGCAGGAAGAGAAAAGGCCAAAACTCAGATTAAGTCTCAGGTGGAGAATTCCGGAGCTAGCGCCAACGAAAAGAAGCACACAGAGGATCATGTAAGTTGTAGGGACGCATTTAAATAAGGCTGAATCTTTTTCATGTCCGCCTGGGGCCTCTTGCAGACTATTCCTTTGAAGGGTCTGGTGGGATTACAGCCAAGGCCTGTATCCCCAGCACTGCAAACACACAGAAGATGAGACGACAATTTAAATGATGCATTGTATCTGCAATGGGGTCAGTACGTTTTCGTGTTTAAAACCCGGTATATTCAGCATCTGCGCTGGGACCAGTAACGTGGTTTATTATCTAGCCACCGTCATTCATATTTCTGTACTGAAGTGCAGTTGAAACTTGCTTTGCTTTTCGACAGATATTAATATAGTTCTAATTGTCTGAATAGGATAAAGATACCAGTGAAAACGAACACCCCCTTGCGTGGAAATTCCTATCCTATTCACAAGTAAACCTCCTGCTGCAATTGAGTGTTGAAGAAGTGGAGAAGTAAGTACACAGAGGAAAAACTAAACTCGCTCTGATGTCTTGAATGTGCCTTTCAACTTTTAAATTGCACTGCACCTGGTAACATTTGTGCATATAGACATTTCTGTCACAGGCAATGTCAAGTGTAGGTTGATGCTTCATTTCTCAAACTTGAAAGAAAAATAGTGTTAGTTTTATTAATGCATTAGCCTATGTTTCTTTTCCAGGCAATTGGAGGAGATCCTCAACTTTAATAACCATCAGACGTGTTTGAAGGAAGCAGCTTTATTGGATTATTATGTCTCTGGGTTTAGGTGGGCCAAAGAAATGAACTTCACCTGCCAGCAAGTATCAGGGTTCATGACCCTTTTATGCATGGCGTTGGAGAATATTAGGGGTAAACTGAGTTTCTCTCACGGTATTTTAGCTCTAACTTCTTGTCATCTTTTTAATAATTACAGTAAATTAGTTTCTCAAAGTGAAAGTGGACAGTTTGCATTTTAGGAAATAGTAAAGGTTTACCCCATGCTGAAAATTGAAGAAAAGAAACACAATGTTTTGGCCGTCGAGCCGCCTTTGGGTGTGACACAGCCGAAACGTTGTGTTTCTTTTCTTCTTCTTTCAGCATGGAATAAACCTTTACTTGTTCCTTTGCAGCCTACACATGCTGACGCAGCTACATACTTGAACTTAGGCAAGCAATCACACCATGTTAAGTGTATAAATTGATAAAGAGGTGGATTATTAACTTTTATTATTATTATAATTTAACTAGAAGGAAAAATATTCTGTTGCTCCATACATTCTGATGTTTCATGCATCTATTTAGATGTTCTGATCTCTAGATTATTTGTTCCTGGTACATTTAATCATTTTTTGGAATATATAATATTTTGAATTTAAACCATAGTCCAAAATGTGAAGACAAGGGCAAACCTGCTGTAAATATGATTAATTTTGTATAGTCCTTGCCATCAGAGTTCTGAATTTACAGAACTAACTGCCATAACATACTGTATATTGCAATATGTTTATGTTGCCTTTCTTCGTCATCTGTTTTTCAGATAACCAGATGCCATTAGCAGAAAACTTCAAAGAGTTTTATAATGCAGTAGTGGGGACAAGGCAGTCAACATCAGCGGCAACAGAGGATGGTGACAATGAGTTCTTCAGTGTGGGACAAGTTACCAGTATTACTGAATATATGAAGTCAAGGTAATCTGTCCAGTCCTCCAGATTACCTACCTTCTGTGTTGCGGCTGCTTTACCCTATCAGGCGAGCAATATAGTGCCTCTGTAATTGTCATTGTTTGATAATAGTTATTATTAATTAATCATTGCTTGCACTTATATAGCGCTTTTCTGGACACTCCACTCAAAGAGCTTTACAGGTAATGGGTTACTCCCTTCTACCACCACCAATGTGCAGCATCCACCTGGATGATGCGATGGCCGCCATAGTGCGCCAGAACGCTCACCACACACCAGCTCTCAGTGGGGAAGAGAGCAGAGTAATGAAGCCAATTCATAGATGGGGATTATTAGGAGGCCATGATTGGTAAAGGCCAATGGGAAATTTGGCCAGGTTGCCGGGGTTACACCCCTACTCTTTTCGAGAAAACTGGATTTTTAATGACCACATAGAGTCAGGACCTCGGTTTTATGTCTCATCCAAGGACGATGCGTGTTAACAGTATAGTGTCCCCGTCACTATACTGGGGCATTAGGACCCACATGGACCGCAGGGTGAGTGCCCCCTGCTGGCCCCACTAACACCTCTTCCAGCAGCAACCTTAGTTTTTCCCAGGAGTCTCACATCCAGGTACTGACCAGGCTCACACCTGCTTAGCTTCAGTGTGTTGCCAGTTGTAAGTTGCAGAGTGATATGGCATGATAAAGGTATAGTTACCAACATTGTCTCTGGAAGAAGGAGGTTATTTGTATTCTTGGCCACATACTTGTTCTCTAGTTTACTATGTTGCCAGAAGCTCATCTTCAACGTTTTCTCTTTTATTTAGTAGTTGCTAATGATTTCCAGTGTGGAAACTCTGAGCTATTGTGATGTAATAATTTGACAAGCTCAGGCTTGTTGTGATGTAATTATCTGACCCATTACTGCATGGCAAATCTCCATAGATAAGTGTGAAATATAAAAACAATGACAAGTAGCTAAAAAAAAATATTTGTGGCAATGTAATATTTTAAAAAAATTATCCTTAACTGAAATGTTGCATCTGCATTACAGAATTTACAGATTACAAAATTAGTATGAATATAATTCTGCCACCATTTAAAAAAAAAATTAATTCTTGATTTTTAATTTATTTGAAAGAAAAGATCATGGTTATATTTATGATATAATTTAATATTGCTGTCAAATAGGTCTTTATTTCCTTGTATATGTAATGCTGATTGTTACATCCACCATGCAAACCTAAAGTGTACCAGCAAATAATTGTGCTTTTGTTGTTGTTTTTTAATATTATCTGTTTACTATCTGAGGTTATAAGTGTGGTAAAAACAAAACCCTTCACCCTCAAGTCACCTTTTAATTGCTTACTTTGAAAAATTGAAGAATAATTTTCTTTTAAAAAATGTACCTTCCGTTTTCTCCTGTTTGCACTGGCAAAACTGTCATGAACCTTCACTTTCACTCTGACTTTCTCTTGGCTTTCACTCTGACTTTCACTCTGACTTTCACTCTGACTTTCTCTTTGTGGTTTTCAGATTATTCTGAGCATTTTATGTTTTAACAAAGCGGTTCAAGGTGCAACTCTTTATCTGACCTGCGGGTGAAGCTGTTTCCTTAAATGTTAAATGTTTGCTTACCAAAAAAGAAGAGAAATGTGGGATTTGAGTCAGCAGCAGGTTGAGTTTGAAAACTGGTGGGTTTGAAAACAGTTAGCCTTGGATATTTGAACAATCATTTATTTTCACAATGGTCATTTTTGTGTGAAGACAATAGATGCACTGTTGTTGTATCTTATCATCTCCCTGCAGCATCTGGGAAAGTGTTTCAAAGCTTCACATCACTATCTTTCTCTAGTTAATCAGGCTCTAAAAGATGTTTGCACACTTCTGATTTTGAGGGGATGGTATATTTCATTATATAAGGATTGCAAGTTTAGAAAGACCTTTTACCAGGATGAGTATTTTGTGGTGTGCAGAATTATGGAAAAATCGCTAGCTGTGCATCTAATTTAACAAGATTGGCACAAGCAAAATACTGAAAGAACTGCTCAAATAAGGCTATATAGAAAGCCAGCAGCTGACTGGCCATTTCTTTTAAACAGGGAGCCTGAGAAAGGGCAAAGGAAGTATGTGGTGAGTGAGTTTGTGGGGCAGAAAAAAGGAATTCATTAAATATTTTAACATTGAAACATTGTTTTATTTCAGTATAGAATTCTATGTGTAACCTACATTTGAAATTGGAATTAGTTCATTATGACTTCTTGTTAATTATGATTATTATAGACATTGTATTTACTATTCAATCTCTACAAAAAGTAGGAGCTTGGCAGTTTGTAGATTTTTCTTAGCCTTAGACCATTTTTTCTTTGGCCTAATGTAACCTATTTATGTGACTAGTCCTTAAAAGATTTGTAGTACCTAAAACAACATAAATTGATTTACTATGGTATAATAGAGTTTCCCTTAGCGAATGAACAAAGAGGGTTAGCTCCATCGCTGTGCTATGTTGATAAACACTTATTATGTGATTCCTAAGCATCTCTAACAATAAACACACTCGCCAAAAGTGTAGGTTGAGCTCCGTGGCCCAGACTGTAACCAGGATTTCCGAAGGGCTGATGGGGTATGTCGGAATTTGTTGTCCAAGAACCTCTCAGCTGTTGGCTCAAGGGAAATTCCTGCAACTTGCCTGGTGCCTGCTGGCTTTCAGTTCAAGGGAGAGATATGCTGGTCCTTCAGGCTATGTGCACTACTAATAATAACATAATGCAATTTTATTCCTTAGTTCTTTTCAAGAAACCCAAACCATACATGGTAGCACACATGTAATACTTTTTACACCAGTAAAAACAGAAAAAAGAAGAGCATGGACAGTTCGCTAAGTAAAACCAAGGTAGTAAATTAGACCTTAAAAGCTAGGGTGAAAGAAAATGTATTTAAGTGTATTTCAAATATGCTGAGAGTCACAGTCTCTCTAATGTATATAAATGATTTCTGTGTATACTGTATGTTGCTGGAAGTGAGAAGCCTCCATGGCCCATTGTGTGAAGCCTGGTCTTCTGCAGAGTAAGAAGACCTGAATTCACACATCTCAGATTAAGTCTTAACCTACATTCAATGCAATACAGCCCTAAAATAACCTTAATAGAGACAATTCTCAGCCTTATTGGTGAGAGCCTAAAAGTCCACTCTAAACTTCAGTTGGAGCTAATACAAATTACAGATAAGTTATGTGTTGCTGCAGAATACTTTCAATTAACACATGAACAGCAAAATTGTAGACATGATGACTCATACTTTATACCTTAGATACCCCTCTGAGTAAGGAATTACAGTAATCTGTCTAAAATGAAATAAAGGCTGGCATCAATATTTCAGCCTTAAACAGGCAGCAGAAGGGTCTTAATCAGGCAATGTTGTGCAGGTGGAAAACTGACCAAGTGGTAATAAATAAAAAGTTATTTTTTCTCCATATTTTATCATTTCCATCACATTAGTTAACGTTTATCTTGGTATCCTCTATCCATAAAACTGTGTTCCAAAACTCTCCTGGCTCATCTTTGTACTTCCATGCAAATTCAGACGTATGGTAGAAGTAATGTCATAGTTCAACAGCATCTCCTAATTAGGTGCATGGGAGAAAGCTCTCCAGGGACATAGGTGGGTTTCAAGGTCACACAATGGTTCTCACTCCCAGTGTGGTGTATGAATGTGGGTTGCCATACAGGAATGAGAACTTTATTTATTACAAAAACAGTTTATTTAATACTGGATGTCTTTTTTCTTTCTAGTTTATTTCAGCATTACAAGCTGTATGAATTTCTCTTCACCCATCCACAAGAGCAGCTTGTTCTTGGTATTGAAGTAAGATCTTTTTCTTTTCTTTAGCTTGATGTATTTAATGAATAATGCATGTCTAAAAACAGCCCCATTGCTTATTACAGTCTGTCTCTTTAGTATAATGAAAACAATCTATTGGTGAAAATCCAGAGGCAATTTCCTGATTTGTAATGCATAATATTTATTTTTCTGCCATTCATCTGTGCATGGTATAATGAGATTTTTTGTAGATGAATGTCATCCAAAATCACACTTATTTGGTTGTACATAGTCTTGCATATCAGCTTCACTTAAGTGTTGGTGTTCATTTACTCAAGTGAAGAAATCTTTTGAAAAGTTGGGGGACAAAGGTGTACAGTATGTTTTTTTGTTACATTCACAAACTGGAATTGAACATTCAGTGTTTTATCCTAGTAATTATCAATTTGCATATTCATGTCTGCTTATTCTGCAGTGCAGTGTGTTTAATCAAAGCCATTTCAAATAATAAAAAAACTGAGAGTAAGTCTCAGTTACCAGGTGGCAACAGCTGTGGCAGTAGGAAGGATCCATAAACGTTTAAACACTACAATTAATTTGCTGATTAAATAATATTTATAATGAAATTTCAATTAGGATAAAAAACAAAAGTGTTGAAAATGTTAAAGTGATAAAATGGTAAAGGGGTCAAATAAAAATATTACTGCTTTTCATTGCTATTGACTACCATGCAAATAGATGATGTTCTGAAATATATGGAGTGGTCAGACAATCTGACTCCAGCTTCACTCTTTTCTCATGTTGTCGTTTAAAATCTAGCACTGTGATAAAACATTCATGTTCATCTCAGGTGTGTGTCCGGCTTTAAATTAATAAATGAATGTTTCTTTGTTCAAGAATGTCAATATTTTATGTTTTCCTGACATGGTTAGTCAGTATTGGTATAGTAATTTGAGCAGAATTTAATTTTGAAAGTTTATAATTTCAAAATAATCATACTGTATTGCAGTTATGAAATGTTATATTTAGGAAATCTAAAATAATATCTTATGCATTCCTTTAAGATGTTTTACAGACAAATTTATTCAAGTTTATTTACCATACACAAACATAAAAATAAAGCACATAACACATTGGGTTACTTAAAATGTAGTCCAGCATTTACTGCAAAGATACTTTAATATGAAGTAATTTGACTTCTGAGGTATTATGCCCTTTGATGTTGTTCAGACTGTTTCTTCACTTGTGAAAAATATATTAACTGCAGAGACGTTACCCCTTTGAGAGGAATGTGATTAATATTAATAGGAAGGGCAGTGACCTCTGCAGAGGGGTAAACCTTTCCTGCCTTTGTTCCGAGTTGTCTTTTGTCCTTTTTCTTCTTAATCAGAAGTAAAAGTAAAACTGAAAAGTCTATTTAATGTATATAAGGATTAACAAAAATGCACAGAAACATTTTAGCAAACTGTGACATTGTTTATTTATAGAGGAGAAAAAGAAAGCATCTTTCTATGGACAGTGATTTAATTAGTCAGTTCTGTTTAGTTTCCAACTAGTTCAAGCCAGAAATCATTCAGTAGGCACATTTCATTGATGTTGTTTCAATTATGTAAATTAATTATTCCCAGAAAATGTTGCATGACTCAACCCACTTGGCTTATCTCATGTTTAAATGTATTTATCAAAATTGCCTAAACTTAGGAAGCAAGATTCAATGGATTATTAAAGAAAATGGCACTAAATTGTTGGAAGAGTGATTTAGGATAAGAATTGAGTTGCAATGTGAAAATATACACAACAAAGAGAAAAAATGTATACAGTGTTGCTTCTTCTAATATAGTGTATGTACAGTGTATGTGACAGCTCTGTTAAATGCCTAGCATTGTAGATAGACGTGAGATTATTCGGTTGACAGGGTTATGTACATATTAAAGAATTATTAATTTAACATGTTGCACTTATATACTGTATACACATTTGCAATAAGACAGACATCTTTATGTTCTGTTTTTGGTGCTCTTAGTTGTGTTTTATAAAGTAGAATTCCATCTCTTATGAAAAGAGAAGACCATGAACATACATTTAGTGATCAAGGATAATAAGCAACTATTTTTTATAATTGACAGATAATCTTATACTACACATGTATACACAGCAAAAATATAAAGTGCTGAGTGGTTTCTTCTGAAGAGAAAAGAGGGCTATACAAGAAATGTTTTCTCGTGTGTAGGTGTATAATGGTCATAATTGCAATAGTTTGTAATTATATATATAATTGTATCTTATCAACCAAAGCAATGTCTTATTCAGGTGATCTTTGTTTTTTGTATGAATTATATGCAGATTTTATTTCAAGGTGAACTCTAGATTTTGTTTTGTAATGAGCTTCAAACAGCTTGGAGCTAAGCCTAATGTGTTTTTTTTTTTGCTTTTCAGTTTCTGTTGTACTTCAAGAAGCAGTCATAATAGGTGCTTACTGTCAGTTTGCATAAATTGAACCATATTTCATTTGTTTTGATTGAGCGTGTAAGACATTTATTGAATATCAATAAATATATTCTCTGAACTGAACACATTTAAGAACGACAGTCTGAAAATAATGCAAATTACATGAAAGTAAAAAAAATGAGCATAGTGAGCAATATGCTTTGAGAATAGAGATTTGAAATTTTGTTTTTCTGTGATCAAAATAATAACTAACATTAATTAAAAAATAATTAGTATAAATCATATAGGATATAGCTACGTTATTGATGTGGCTTCAAAAGCCAAATTGAATTATCTTGCTCATAGTCTTTGTTCTACATCTTAATTATCCACTCTGTGTAAACCTTAGAGTCTCTGTGGGCTTCCAACTGATTCTGAATGCAGTTTACATGTTTGCTGTTTGGGAAAACTTTCCAGACAATATATTTGTCGACTTTTTTCAGCTTGTTAGGCTAAAAGTTTTTCTCTCAGATACAAAAGGGAGATATTTCTTTCTTAGGATCTCAGGAAAACAAAACCGGAAGATATTTTCTGTGAGGATGTGGGGGTGGGGTAGAGTGGTATTTGTGTACAGTATATGCCATTTCACAGACATTAGGCTATAGTGATCTTTTCAAAGCAAAAGCAGCATGTACAGTAGCACTACGAAATCCTTTTCAGATACTGTATTTTGATGTCTTATTATTCAGACAGTGTTTTGATTTAGGGCAGTAACAACTACACCAACATTAAAGGACTGGTTCTCTGTCCTTCTCCCAGGTGACCTCTGGTCCTCTGTCAGGCTCATTGATCTCAATATTCTATTTGAAGCCTGTTTTAAAATGTGCTTTCAGCACTAGAGTTGCTGAATGAGATTTGTATTCAGTATCAACCCTGTACTAATTAGTGAGCTTCACAACTGCTGTAATTCAGGTGTGCGAGATGCAATGTGATCAGCTGGATAAAGCAGAAGGAAAAACACTCCCTGTGGGAGTACCTCAATATACAGAAAAAAAACAAGCAAGTAGGGCACATACAAGAGCCAACCAGCACTGGTTATTAAGGGCCCAAAACCAGAAATAAAACCCAGCAGAAACAGGAGTGTCTAACGCTTAGCACCAGTATTGACAACCACTACATTAAGGCAAGATTTCCAGGATTCTCAATCTTCCTGAAAAATACTATAGTTATACCACTGTCAGACTACAGGTGGCAGTAGTCTCTGTGATTATTTGAATTGTAACCAAATCTGCTATAACTGTTTTTAACAGTTAATTCCAAGGCAAAATATCTGTAATTCTGATTTGAGATATACAGTACAGTATATGGTAATACACCTACAAATTATATATACATGCTGTATCTCAGTTCCAAAATCTCTAGAGGACTCATACTGAATATTTTTTCAGTTGCATTGCAAAATGCACCCAAGGGTAATAGCTTATTTTCTGAATCATTAAAATGAAACAGTTTTTGAAAACATATTCTAGTGAGATAAAAATATTTTTCTTGAAATTATTCTAAAATTATAACATAGTTCTAGTTTACATATAGACAGTTCTTTTTTTAATACAAATGAAGCAAGCATTTCAGTACAGAATGAGCAATATCAAAGACATGCATCACACTGAATGTTTGTATTGCATAAAAATGATGTTTTAATAGTAGTTATGTTGAAAAACGTTAAAACAAAGGACAAACTGGATGTCTCTTGAGTAGTAGCAGTTGTGATAATTTGCTTGTTTTGCTTGCTTTGTCTCTGTAGTGATAGGACAGAGACACTGCTAATGTAAAATCAGATTCGAATCGGAGGATGGCCTGAGACTGTCTCTTATTCTGTTTTCAAGGAAAGTGTTGAGGTGCTCAGATCAAGAGACTGCTTAGTTGTGGCACCTTTGGAAGAGGGCATGCCCTGTGAGGCCTTCACTCAATACGTGGCCCCAGCTCCCCCTGAACACAGTGAGGATGAGGTATCGGCACTCTGATGACATATTGCCTTAGATACACCATGGGTTTTTAATCAAATCAGAAGTTTGGACACTCATTTTGGTAACATAAGGAAAACCAGGATTATCATGAAACAGTAAATCAATGTTTATCAAAAGCAAGCAGCAAATGGCAAGAGAGGTAACAACGTTTATGAGGACCTGTCATGCGCAAATTTCTCTACAAGATTCATTGTCTTGTATTACGTTCATGTTGAGAAGGACTGTGTTGAAGTTAGCTGGTCACAGTAAGATGAGAGTAAATATAGTAGTTCAAAAGAAATCGGATGGGTCAGTAATTCAGGTCAAGAAATTAATTTCTCCATAAATAAATAAATCATGGGTCAGTTTGAAGCAAGTGTGGTACAGATGCCTTGAGCTACTTTTATTTTACATGTATTTTTTCACTTAAATCCACTGACTCATTGATTTTAAATGTGTATATTTTAAATAAATGTGTCATAAAAGGACCACATTTCATAGCAGCCACTATGAATTCTAAGAATGTGATGCACTATGTTGGGCTTGTGTTAATCCTTGTTAGGGCTCACCAACATGCCACAGCTAACTTCAGCTAGTGAAATGGCTAAGATATGCATTACATATATATATTGATTTGTATATATTAAGTTATTTGAGTTTTAATACATTTTCTATTAATATATTTGTTTCAAAGTTAAAGTAATTTGTTTCATTGTACATTAAATTTTCACTGTAAAATTATAGTTATTACTGTACTTATAATGTCCTTCTACATTGCAACTGAAGCTTGCTTTGATGTATTTATTATTATTATTATTATTATTATTATTATTATTTAGTCAAGTCATTGCAGATACTTAAACATCCAAGAATGTGCTTTGAGTTCTGCCTTGAGGCTGGCATTTCTTAGTTCCTGTGTAATGAAATTGCATTTTTTACATATTTTCAGTCTTACAAAAGTATGTACATGCAGTCTTTTGTTAAAGGTTCAGCTTGTATATGACACAGAATTGTTGGAATTTTGCAGTTTACTGAAGAACTAGAAGGAAACTATGAAGACAAGCAGAACAAAGCTAACAATGAAGCAAAAAATGCATTTGAATGCTACGCCATAGATGATGTAAGATCAGTGCTTGGACCACTGACAAAAGATGTGCTGGGAAGTTTTCAGGTATGGTATTGAGCAATAAAGGATAGATGGCAGTCATATATTCCCATTCCATTGTTACTTAAAATTAGAACAAGTCAAGAATCATTGTTGTGTTGTAATCGAGAAAAAATATTTGTTTTCATGCAATATTTTTAACCATCATAGGGAAATTCTAAATACAAGAAGACATCGGATAAGCAGGTAAATCACAGGTGTAGAAGGACATGTCTTGTGTTTTTTTGTTTTGTTTTCATCAGTCTGCAGTTTTTTGTTTAACTACAAACTGACCACTTATTCTTATCAATCAGGTATTGTAAATGGATAATGGAAACCCAATATTAAGACCAAAAGCCTTTTTAAAATATATTTACTTTATCTGATTTCAAACTTAGTATAAAGTAGCATAGAAATCACCTGGAACAAACCCTGTCCCTGTACATATACTTGTGTCTGACAGATTTTGTGATCATGAGTTTTAGACTAGTTATGAAATACAACAATCACATTTCATTAGTGATTATTTGTATTAATTTTCTGCTTGCATTGTTAAGCATATGATTCAATTAAACATTTTTACAGCACCCATTTAAAGTTCTATTGAGCACTTTTATACATTGAGCTTCCCAAAATTTATTTTCGTCACACAGAGAAATCTGAACAGAAATTAGTTGATTTAATCTCAGTGAATTAAGGCGCTTTGGTCTATTTAAATCTGTCAGTACAATGAAAGTATGGGATAAATACATGTAAAAACAGTTTATATTTGTAACCATTTTAGTATGATTTCAGCATAGGAAATCACTCTTCAGCAGATACAATATGTACTGGTTTAAACATATTCTACTTAAACTAATCTAGCTACCACTTTATCTCAAATGGGATATCTGAAGTTATTTTCAGTAACTCACAAGGGCCTACCCCACCTTAAAATCTGTAGAAGGCCAACATATGCTTGGTTATGTTTCCTGAGTAGTAAAATTGGAACATTTTCCTGCACAATGTTTTAAATAAAAACAAGGGGAAATATGTATTTTCAAGAAGTATTATAAAAATAATACATTGGTTTGTTACTTGGAATCATCTGCTCAATTTTTATCTGTTAATAATATCTGCAGGAAAGACATTTGTTACTAAAAGAAAATCTCCTGTTTAGATATATTTAATTTGTGTGCATTAGAAGGAAGCATATGAGAACAGTAAATGTATTTTTCATCATTGGTAAATATAATCTTAACTAACTGAATCTTTGAGCCTAACAACCATAGCATTATTTTGTTTTTTCTTTTTTTTTCCAAGAGACCTTGTATGGATTGATGCCTCATCTGCTTTTTTCCTTTAAGAATGATATTTAATAATAACATCCGTTTTGTAAAGGATATTTTGGTTGTGAAATTTCCCAGGAGCATAATTACTCATGTGGGTTTCATCAGTCTGAACCTTATATGGTAAACTCTTAAATTTACAAATCTCGTGAAGACTGTGGTTGAATTCCTTATTTTTCATACCATATTGTTAAAATTCCATAAGTGGATTGGTAAATGAAAGGTTTTCAAAATGCGAGATTAAGGGAAAATGTAACACTGAAAAACTAAGCTAAGAATCTAGCAATGTTTCTTCTCTTTTCTGCTTTCCACCCACAGATGTAACAGTTAGCTTAAAACAGTGGTTAGAAAAAAAAAACAATTTTGTCTAATTTCACAATCACAAGAGTATCAGAAGTGTTTATTTAATGTACCATTTCAAGATAAAATTATTTTAAAATAGCTTATTAAACTGAAAACATACATATCAGAGTTTCTTTCTAAATTGTAGTGTCTGAGGTCAAAAGGCTACACTGTAGTTTTAAATGAATTACGCTTGATCTTCCAAATTTAAGGGTTATGTTTAAACTGTAAGTCACATATGTAAAACATTTGCAGTGATAAACCGAATGCAAATGGATAACATATGATACATCTGTAGTATTACAGCTGCTCAAATTCTAAATTATTAAACAGTGTGATTAATTTTTATCTGAGTACCTCTATCATTTACAGACCATTAAATTTAATGTAAGTGAAAGTTACATTTTATATACTTGCTGTTTTAGCTCAGGTTTGAGAAGTGAATAGGCTGAGGTAGAAATAGGGAAAAGAAAGCAATTTATGAAAATAGAATAAAACAATTGATAAAAATAGAAGAAAATACTGTTACCAATTAAATGTTAAATCACATTTTAATATAATATCTGAAGGGAACCAATTTTTTCATTATTAATGTAAAATACATCTTACTAGTATTTTCTTATGTATCGTTATCTGAGAAATGCTGTTTCTGTACTTGCTGATAAAGGTGTCTTGGGAAATCACATAGAATAGAATAGATCATCTTCCTTTCACTTGGGCTGATCTTGCAAGGTCCTTGAAAGGGTGTTGGTGTACTTTAAGACAATTGGAGGTTATCACTCTCAGACTTCCCTAGGCTGCCTGATGTCTGCACAGGAGGTGCTTCTTGGATCAGGGATTCTGTAGCAGGGCATTTCAGAGTCACAGGGGAACAAGGGGAACTGGTTCTCTGAAGAATGGTTTTATTAATAATTATAATAATAATAATTGCTTACACTTATATAGCGCTTTTCTGGACACTCCATTCATGACCCAGGGGATCCCCTTTAATTGACCAGGTGTAATTAAAGAAGCCTTCATCCAAAAATTAAGAGAGAAGACTGGTCTGAGAAACACGACAGATTGTAAACGAAATATACCTGGTGTATGATTGGCCGATTCTAAATTTAAAGTCATATGAACTGCCAGGAAATGCTGAAAATGAAGGGATCTAAGTGCAACGTGCCTGTTTTGTACAATGAAATTAGTAGCCGTGACCTCTCAAACCTGCAGCCAGTGAGATATACATGGTATGATAGATGTGGCAGAAAGAGGAGACTGATACGTGTGACCCCTGCAGGAAGGGGGCAGGAATGCACTTTGGCAGTGAAGACATCATATGGGGCTCTTACAATTCCACACCGCCCTAGACCTGCATGCTTTACAGGTAATGGGGACTCCCCTCCACCACCACCAATGTGCAGCACCCACCTGGATGATGCGACGGCAGCCATAGTGTGCCAGAACGCTCACCACACATCAGCTCTCAGTGGGGAGGAGAGCAGAGTAATGAAGCCAAGTCATAGATGGGGATGATTAGGAGGCCATGATTTTGACCATCTTCTTTTGTCTTTACAGATGGAGATCAGTGAGAAGCTGCGGGTCCAGGAGGAGCTTTACACCGCCAGGATAGACAGACTTAAAAACTCTTCCGACAGTTGAATATTGTAGGAAACACATAGCTCTATTACAGAACATTTATGTGTTGTATGTGATTTACTACTAACATTAATTTTAGCATTTCATGTTTCAGCTACAGTATGCATCATTCTGCTCTTAACAATTTTCTTCTTGTTAAAAAAAGCTGAAATGCAGTGGGCTTCTCTTGAGAACTAGAACTATGAATTCCAAGCATATGCTTCAGGTCTTATAAAACATTATAATCAAATGTATTTATCTTTAAAATCAAGTACTTAAACAGTTTTTATTAGGTTATAACTTCTTCTTTGTTCAGCTAATTTTGTCTGTTTGTTGTAAGTTTAATAAAGTAAACAAAGCAATAAGACTTTAACCATGTAAAACACTATATTGCAAAGCAAAACACAAGTTCCACCTATGTCAGCCAATTTACCTTAAATCCATCTAACATGCTTGTTGTGCTATTTACAGCAATCATTTCTCGTAAGTCATTAACGGTCTTAAATATACTCAGCTGCCATGGCAACCCAGTGCATTTAACTCACAGCGTAAACCACTGAATTGGCTTTCTGTGTGATCTGTTATTCAAGCTGAATAATTTCACTTAAATTCACTCCTAAGGACTACAGAAATATTAAATGGGTTTTGGAACACAGAAAATGTTGATCATGTTTTTCCTCTTTATTGTGTGTTTTTGCATACACCCACACACAACCCCTACCTAACCCATTGTTCTCTTTTTTGATGTTTTTATTTTATAATATAAAGTAAAACAGCTGCCATAATATTGTGTATATATAAATATTCTTCCAAAGGTAGGTTGGTAATCCTTACCCAAATTCCCAGAAAGCATGAGCAAGATATTTTAAAAAAAAACATTATTTCTTGTGTGTCCTTGATTGCTTAGTTGTAAATAAACCGTAGGTCTCCTTTCACTGTTTTCTCTAAAGATCTGCGGTGGATGTGGAGCTCTTGATATATGTCGCCCTCTTCTGGTGAAGCTGTGGAACTGCAGCATCGGGTCATATTCGGTTTCTTCAGTTCGGTTTTCCTGTGCTACTTAGAAATTTCACACTTACTCATTAGCATACAGATATAGTAGATACATATTAACAAAATATCACCAAAAAGGAATAATGTCTCTCGAGACAAATACCAGTTTAAGAATCACGTTAGCGAAAACTGCAAAATAATACAACTAATTATCTTGCTATGTTAAATATATATTACTCTCTTAATATTACTATGCAGATGTGCCCCACATTACCCACAGGAGTGTGTAAATCCATGTAGTAGATGTTCTCCTCCAAAGTGCAAAATACAGTGCTGTATACTCTGCTACTAAATACTGTTTGTGGTCAATGTCTGTTCATATTGTTTATTTTAATTTGTTTAACTTATCTCTTATACAGTATGTTGCTTTTGTCTCTAAGGGACTCTTTAAAGCACTGTTACAGTATATAATGATTACATTGTTTAAAACTGTAATCTGCCTGCTGATAGATGCACTTTGTTCTGCACACCAAGAAACTAGCTGTATAAGGCAGGCAAGACAACATTGCAAGATGTAAAACTAATTCACAATTCTTGCTGTTCAACACTTAAAAGTAATTTATACAAAGACGTATTATATATTCATGGTAATTTGATGTCATTGCCTCATGCAGTAGATGCATGTTTTCTTGGCTGTCTTATTTTTAATATTTTAAATTAAAAGTACAAAATCATCCCTTGGTTCTAGCAGTGAAGGTTACCTGAAGACATGTTGAAAGTATTGTTGTAAAAACATCTGGTAATGTTTGGTCATTAAATTACAATCTTCATTTCCAGCTTCTTAACAAAGTAAAGCACTGTATTTTACAAGTACAATGTCTTCTTCTCTTTGTCTCAAGCTGCACGTGAACACCAATGAGCAATTATATGGTCTATATATTGTTTTATGTTGAATTGTTGAATTAATGTGTTGCTTTTATCATTTATATCTGCTTTTGTTTTAATCGTTTTTTACTAGGGTAAATAAAAAATTCCAGAAAATCAAAGCTGATATTTCACTGTTTATATTTATGTAACCATGAATGTATATGTTCATCTATCCTTTTGGTTGCTTTAACAAGTCAGCACAAATTCCTTTCTTCTTGGTAAATATTAAGTATTTCCAATGTAGTGTAGAAAATATGAAGAATACAAGCTTGCTATTTTCATTATTAAAGGTGCTTTGCAGACAGCCTTGTTTATTTTCTTGGATTGCTTTAGCCGCAGGAAATTCTAACATTTTCTCTGATCTCTCATCAGATAAAGACTTAACACTTAACATTACGATGGAAAATAGCCCTCATGGGCTAACTTTAAACACATGTCCTTTTCAAACAAACAAATTCCTGCATGGCGCATTAGGCATTTGTAATTTTTTTTATTGACTCAAGATATTCAAACTAGGGCCAGAATAATGAACAAAGCACGAAGGGTTTCTTAAATCTAAAATGAATCAAATGCTGGAGCCACCTGGCTTTCATTAGTCATGTATGTACCATTGTGAATCAATATACAAGCTATAGATGACTTAACGTCCAATATTAAACAATATTATCACAGTTTGATATAAGATAAGCTCAGCTTTCTGTTTAAAAAAAAAAACTAAAAATATTTCCTTTGTGATCTGAAAACTGTAATTGATGTTTAAATTTATTTAAAGATATAAACACTTGGTCTGACCTCGCCATAAAACCAGATGTTTGATTTTTCTTTTGTACAGAAAAGTTATGAGGGTTATCCAAAACTCTTGACTGTTATAACAGCCTCTTGGCTTTCCACTCATTCCTAAATTACCATGTAATTTAAAACCTTGTTTTCATTGCAAAATACTGGAATGCCCCATTAAATTTCAATGTGGTTGCAGTCATGTTATAGAACACAAAGATAATGTTTGCATTGTTGAGTAGGACATAATCAGTCCTAAAGAGAAAAGAACAAAGAGGTAAAAAAGTACTGTAAGGCTGAATTGTTTGATTCAGAATTCATACTTGTAAACTCTTGCAAATAATTTGAAGCATGTTCTTTTTTTTCCAGGGTTACTTATTGTTTCAGTCATGGACAAATGACAAAGATTACTTTGTCTTATTTACATCATCTTCATGTGATTTCAGTCCCTGTTTCAAGGTCACATTAATTTAAACTTTGGTCCCGTTAAGTAATTGGACACTTATTCAACAGAAAGAATGTTTCAGCTGACTTCAATAAAAACACTACCCACAAATGAACCCATTAAAGGCATCTTCTGTGATTGTTTATATTCACTTCAAGTCTCAGTCACCACCATAAATGTTGCTTATATAACAAAATTCATTGTGACTTAAGGATTTGTTGTAAATTATTAATTCCTCCCTGTAAAGGCAGCAATAAATCAACTTCATGATGTACCTTTCTCCTCTCATTTGTCGGAGTTATTCTTTTGCAGTGCTTACATGGTTTCTACACAATACCAGATTCAATGTATTACTGTTAATCTTATCAGGAGAGATATGCTAATGCACTTACTTCTTTGATTGTGTGAAATGAAAAGGCTGTGGCAAAGTTCAGACCATATTGACACACTGCCATTTTCTCACAGATATCACAACACTGTATATCTATTGTATGTTACATACCTAGATCTGCTTGAACACAAATGCCTGTTTAAACATGTTTTAAGATGGATTATATTTTTTCAAGCAACCTCTGTACTGAAATACAGTACAAAAATATTTGGCATGTTTCTTAAATCGAATCTTGCATTCTGCACAAGGACTAAAATGAACAATAGTTGCTTATTACACTTTATCTTTCCAGGTAACTGGGTTAGTGCTGATAATTGCCTGTTCTTATGTACACACATTAATAATATGGTGCTGCTAAAAGTTGTTCTGTCTGTAACAAATCTCAACTTTATTTTACAATAAGAGTATCTGTGTTTTCATTAATAAAGATCTTCTGTCATAATTAAACAGAGCTACTTATGTTACACTGAATAATAGCTTGCAGTACAATGATTATATTGGTAAAATGGAGACATTTCAGTTTACATTCCAGTTATATTAGAGATAGAGAAATGTAACATAATAGCCATCTTTTGTCATTTTTGTGGAACATTTGGATTATTGCAGCAAATAGAACACACTGTGTCAGTCTGACAGATTTCTAGAAAATTGCTTTTTATAACTGCTATAGAGGCCTAAGATGTGAACCAATGTTTTCTTGGAATTGGTGAAGGGAAATCTGGTAAGTGTCTGTTAACACAATTGTCACTGGTGCCAGGCTCATAATACAAAACCAAAAATAATGTTCGTCTTCAGGCCATCAGTACAGTAGACTGAAACTGTAAAACTTTGTCTCATGCCCATAAGTTAGATATGCACTAAAAACAAATATCTTACTTTAACTAATAATTGAAAAACAGCTGAAGAACTGAGAATGTTTTGGAGTATCTCACTTTTTTCTCTGAAAAATAACATTTTCACATTTCAGTTACAGTATGTACTAGGATCTGTCAATTTGCTCAGGCTGTGAATATGACTTTGTTACACAACAAATTAGGTTTAAGAATTCTGATTTATGTATTTCCTTTCATTTAATCAAAATACAGGACAAAGATCATTTTGTTTTACGTTTATGAATTCCATGTTTAGTGTCCTGTGTACCTCTTTATATACTTTTTCTACACTTACCTCATCCACGTGTGATGAGCCTCATGCATCTTAATCCCTCTTACTTGTCACATGTTTGTTTTCCCAATCAGGTCATTGATAGGAAAATAAATTTCTATGTGGAAAAAATGCACAAGACTTATATTTTAACTTAGTAAATGGCAGCAACATATCACACCACACAAGTATTACCTTCTATCTGTTCTTGTAATGAGCAAGGCTTGAAACAATACTTTCCAAATTAGGCCCTTACGACAAACAAGGTCAAAGTATGTGTGTCCTTTCTGGGCCTGCTGCATGGGCGACAACAGCAAACAGCAGTTAAAATGCTTAATACTACCTGCAAAACAAACGCAGAGTTAGAAATCTGAAAAACGAAGTATTTTACTCTTTGTGAAAAAAGGGGCAAGTACATTTTGTGTGGGTTTCAAACTGTAGATTAGACATGACAAAAAAATATTTACCTACAGTCAAATGTGACTAAGCCGCTAATCTCAAAAGCGCTGGACTTCAAAACGAATGGTTAGAAACATGATAGGTGTGCGCAATATAATTGAATCAGAAATTTTAAACCTCTGTGAGTAATGAGGTCTGATGTTAAAAGTTAGCCGGTATGCATTATGTTTAGTTCTATTTTCCCCTAGTTTGCTTAAACCTGTATTACTTCTGATAATGTTAATGCTCACATGATTTAAATAGCCTTTATTTGGCAAGGTGACAACAGTAATATACATAGTGTAAGCTAAAGAACGTTGAATTTTTAATAATGTTTCTTAACCAGACATTTTACAGTGATGCTTTTTTATCTTACTAAGAGTATAACTAATGGAACAGTTTTTGCATTGCAGGCAGCATACTTAGCTTGATTTAATAATTGTGCGATAAATGGATGAAACAGTTTGGGGTAATCTTTGGGTAAAATTCAGTCACAAAACTAGCATGCTGGTCTCTAATGAAACAAGTATCAGCGCAAAACAAGCAAAGTAAAAGTAAAAAGAAATGTAAAAATAAATTTTGGATTGTATCCAAAGGTAGAGAATTATTATTAGATTATTATGATTTATTATTATTTAAAGCTGTTCTGATGGTATGAAATAGTTGCACTATTAATGCACTCCTAGGCTTTATGCTTGTCATGTTTATTTTCTGTTCCTTCTTTCTGTGACAGTGCAGTTTCAGGAGGTCAGAATGTACAAACCCCAGAGGATCTCACAGACCCTCGATAATTGATTGCCTACTGAATGGGCAGAACTACATGACTTGTAGGCTTTCAGACAGAGGTTTATTTTGATATAATATACAATGGCTAGATTAAAATGTCAAAAAAATTTGAATGCACTATTTTTCAGGAAACAAATGTCAGATATCTGTGCAAGAAAATACAGAGGGACAGACATTTTTAATGCTCAATTTGAAGTCGCCACAATATCCCTGTAAGATCTGGCCTTGAATGAAAAATTCAGAAGGATGTCTCTGTGTGGATTTTTTTTTTATCTCTGAAACATTGACATTCCAACAAATAAACCTCCCTATTAGGAATGTCTTTCTTGTTATCTTTCTGAATTTGTTTAATTTGAATTTTAATTAAATGCACTCATCCAAGTGCCATTAATCCTTTCCCTTCCAGCCCTGTTTATTGTTGGACTTTCTACAATCTGATTTCAATGAGCATTAATGGAATTAAAAAGCAAATTCAAAGAATTTCTTAAAGACATTAAAAATGCAACCTCTGTGCAAAACTGCTTCATTATTATCACAACTATTAATAATTATTCAGAAAAGTTAATATTTAATTTCTTCTCTACCAGAGAAGAATTCTCCCATGAAATCGAGGTAAACATTTTGGCATATTTTTTAATGCTGTCACCTCGTTCACAAAATTATTCTCAGTAGTATTACAGGAAATAGCTGTTATTTTTGTTCTTTGCATAAGCTAACAATCATTGTTGTTAGGAAAATTAACTTTGGGAAAGCTGTTCAGTAGGCATTTTAATTAATCACATTAAATTAACTGGGGGTTCATCAAGGAGAGTTGTAATTCATTTTTGTATGATTTGTCCATATAAGAACCTGAACCAAGAAACAGGGCCTGGGTAGAACCTAGTACCACTGATTTAATTAGTTAAGCTGTAGCATAACATAAATAAACCCAATCCAGTGCATGTCATACATCATTAATCTGAAAATACAGATGTAAATATGGATTAGTTCTTATACAAGATTTTTAGGTTATCAATATCTTGCATAGATATCTTAATATCTATTATCTGCTCTAATAATTTTTATTTCTTTTGTATATGTCAAGCACGTGGTCATTGCTCTCACTTGGCTTCTCTAAACGTAAATACAATCTATTTCACAATCTGGAAGCAGTTTGTACTGGCGTTGATTTGTAAAAATAACTTGCTTTTGAAATTAACTGAAGTTTAAGTCAGAGGGGAAACCCAATACAGCAAAAGAGAGGGGCTATAAAACTAAACACGTGCATTTTGTGTAATAATTGTCAAAAACGAAAGGAGGTTGCAAATATTTTATGCTACTTTTGGAATTCCACCACAACGTGTGGAATTTCTAATTAAAGAAGAAAGTAAATGATCACTTCTGACTGTACAGCTAGGCCAAAAGGTTTGAGAATATGTGTGATTCCTCTGACTGGGGACAACTCCACCCAATATACATTCTATTAATCTAGAGGAACGGTATTTTACTA